CCCCAAAACCCCAAAACCCCAAAACCCCATATCAGATATCTTAGTTGAATTCAGAAAATATTCTAAGCAAATTAAGCTTAATAGTGAAGAAATGTTCCATTTTAAGGCAGACCAGACTTGAATCTAAACTTAAAGGCATTGAACACTCAAAATAATAGCACTGCTAAGACGTTAAAGCTTCTAAGCACCTCTATCCGTATTAATTCTTAGAATTGGCTGCTGATAATGAATCCAGAGCTAGTCACCAAGTTGTTTCTCAAGTTTCTAGAACAAAATAATAAACTAACTTAATATTAATTAAATTTCGAAAGTTTATAAATGCCGTAGAAAGTTAGACTCCTGTCTTGGCCTGGCCATTAGAGGGAGTATCTTAAGCAATGGATGCTGCTAAAGATAATCGCTTAATACATCAGGGGTTCTTCTCTCATCTTAAACATTTTAGCTCCTAGTTATCTATGAAAAATGATCACTTCTTGATCAAAAGAAATTAGCAATTGTGTGGAAGTCCTTTAGATTAAAATCTTGGGTGAAGTTGACTGGAAAGATTGAAGCATAGCCAATAAAGACTATGCCTTATCTTTCTTCGTTATATAGTTCAGAGAAATTGCTTTTTAGGAATTTTTATTTTGTGAAAATATACAATCTCTCACAAGTTCAATGAGGCTATTAAGATTTAGAGGCTCACAATGGCTCTAGTCTTGCAGGTATTTACCAAGGTTTGATTAGAGTAGCATCTATTTCTAATCTAAAAGATCCTAATATAATAAGATCTGACCATTAAAAATTTCCTTAGAAGTCATCTCTAAATAGCAAGAACAGATTATCAGATTTTTAAGCATCATGCGTATTAGAGGATCTCTTGAAGCTTAAACAGGGACAGAAATAAACCATTGAATATTTCTCCCCTGTTATGTCTGTTGTATGTGGTTTGTTCATCTTTTCTCTGCTATAAAATTTTGATAATCTGAACAGTATTTTCTCGAACATTGACTGAGAAAATCTCCCAACTGAGAGCAGCCTTTCTTCAGTGGACTTTAAAGTTAATTCTAAAACTTTTAAGAGCTTCAATGGACCATTGAAAGAGATTGTTTCTCTGCTGACAGAGATTTAAAGAACAATAGACAGATTTTGTTCTTTTTAAGATAAACTTTCTGAAATTTCTTTAAAAGTTTGGGGAAATATGCAATGGAAGGGAAGGAAGCTCGATGTATAATATTGAAATAAAAATAATATCTGTCTAGAGATAATTGAGGGAGTAGAACAGCCAAGAGTCAGCCCAGTAATTTGACAGTCAATAAAGAGATAAGAATTCTAATGGGGTTAATCAAATGAAAGGTGTAGGAGTGAAAGTTAATTATTTTTCATAATTGATTTTTTATTAATTGTAATAATAAGATTCAAAGAACTCTTTATTCACAGAGCCACCTTGATGCTAGTAATTAAATTAGCTAAGATATATTAACAAAAATCTCAATAAAAATTTCTTAAAAACTATAAGTTTGTAAAAATTAATCCTTCTAATTCATCAAATTACCCAATAAACATCTAAAACCACATCACAAAACCTCACCTCAATCCCCCTCTAAAACACCTCATCCCCCTCTCCCTCACTACCCCATACTCTAAAAGTCACTACCACCCCTATACTCCTGCTCCTGCCTGTCCTCTCCTTCTTATACCACTCCTCATTACTCTGTTAGCTTAAAGCCTGTTTTAGAGACCTTATATTGACAGTTTCCTTCCTTTGGCTATTGCGAAAGTTCTGGAAATGGGGCTAGGATGTTTATTAGTTTAGCTTAAGTTGTTAGTAGAGGAGGTGGAGGGATGAGAGTAGGGGGATAGGGGGTGGAGGGGGATTTTGAAGGGAGATTTAGGCAGGGATATGGGAAACTGGAGATGTTTTGATTGGGAAAGAGAAGTTTCTAGAACAAATTTTGTAGAAAGAGTAGGGTTTTTTTAAGGTAAATTGAGGGTTTTTTGTGTGTGAGAAATAGATGTTCTAGAACATGGGAACATTTCAAGGTTTTTTGTATAATTTTTGGAGTGATAATAGTCCTTAGTTGGGCTCTTTTTAATACTTTGTTATCTAAACTGCACATCAGCTAATTATAGTCTTCAAATCTTCACCAGACTTGCTTAAAACTCGCTAAAATCATAAAAAAATCAGAACCCCATAACATCTTCGCTCTAAAATCTCTAAAATAGCCTAATTTGCTGATCCCTCACAAATACGATCACCTCACGATCACCTTATTCCTCTCATTACCCTATTGCATGCCTAACTTTTAATTTCTCCATAAACATCTCCACCATCCAGGTTTGTTCCAGAACAATTTTTTATAATTCTAAATATCTTCTGGCAAGCTGATTCCTCAGTAAAATTTCGGAGTTGAATACATGCTTTATAACAGAGAGAAACTTAAGGTTTGAGGGGCGGGAATAGTACTTGCCGTTGTTATCGGAAATTTCCAGAAGTCTTCTCTTCTTTATTTGTTGGATAATTGATAAATTTAGGCTAAGCAGAGGAGGTTATTAGAAGTCATAAAAAGACAACCAGTGGTCCTGAAAGCTCATGTATTTGGAGATAGAGATATTTTAGTGGTGATTAAGCTCAAGGAGGCTAAAAACAAAGCAAATGATTTGTTTTTCATGTCTCCAAATAGGCAGCAAATCTTAGGGTTTCCCCAATGATTACTATTTAAGAAAAGAAAATTTGATATTTATAATATTAAAATGAACATTTCAAATTTCAGCTGTGGTTCAAATCTCACCGCTTTCTCAAAATGGAGATACTCTGACATCATCAGAGACCTCGAAAAAATATACTGAATGAGTGGAATCAATGAAGAAATACAATCTCTGCCTTGTTCTTGAACCTACCCTCCTCAACCAACTCCACTGGTTGTCCAAAACCTTCCACACAACAACCCAAATCTGTAAGATACACCTAAATTTCCCTTTAAAATCCTTCCCAAACTCTCTCCGCTCTTAATTCTCATAAATGATCTAGCCCCAAAACCTCATTTCCAATCTCACCACCCCTCACTCCCAAAGCCCTCAACCGAAAATCTACCTCAAGACCTTCTGACGCAAAAACTTCCGAAGAGGCCAAGCAAGAAGTGAGGTCTCCTGTAGTACTAAAGAAGAGGAGAAGAAGAACCGAGCTGTTGGACATCAGCCAAAAACTACTTAAAATGAAAGCAAGTATTTTGAAACAGTATGTCAAGGGCTTTGAGTCTGTGAGGAAGAGAGCTAAGAGTGCCAACCAGAAGAATTTTAGCAGAAGATCTAAGTATATAGGGGTCTCGAAGAATATTTGAAATTGGCAAGCGCTTATTAATGTTGGGAGTGTTAAGAAGTATATTGGCACTTTTGTGGATGAACACCAAGCAGCAAGAGCATTTGATATCTATTCGATTGCACTGAGAGGAGAAAAGGCGCCGATTAATTTTGATTATACTGCCAAAGAAATGCTAGAGAGGATTGAATACTTTTTAGAGAATAATAGTGTTATGTATTAATTCTAGTTTATTTAAGATATCAATACTCACTAAACATCTCGGGGTTTTGGGGTTTTGGGGTTTTGGGGTTTTGGGGTTTTGGGGTTTTGGGG